CGTGTGCGTGCGTGCCCAAGATCCCGAGAGGAGAATGGAGGAGAAGGGATTGCAGCGTGACCATCCCCCCTGGGGGGTGATTTCTCGCTTTCTGTCTCTATGTCTCTCTCTGTCTGTCTGGCGAGCGCACGCGCCCTACAGTGAAAATCTCTCCCCCCCCCAAAAAAAGAGATTTTTTCTATAAGGCGTGTGTGCTAGCTGGACAGACGGACAAAAAGCAATAAATCAACCCCCAGGGGGAATGACTACACCGCAATCCCTTCTCCTCCATTCTCTTATCAGGATATTGGGCATGCACACACACATGCCTAGTGTGAGTTTCAAGTCATGGGCCTGGGACTCGAACCACAGTTGGCCGCGTGGGAGTCCAGCAACATAAACGTTACTCCACTCCTAGTCCCTTATGTTGATTTTTACATTTGAAAATCATAGCTTAAAAATAATGCTACATTAGTCTTGTGTAACCATGGGTGGCAAAAGCTAGACCCAGTGTCAGATCCATCACGGATGACTAGGAGTCTTTGTCCTGCTCCTTATTGATGGGGGGGGGGCATGAACCTGGGTTCTTTGGTGAAATAGGCTGATTTTAGGAGGTCCCCAATCACTTGCCCTCCTGTTCAACATGAGGACTTGATCACCATCATATCTATCCATGCCTGGGTGAGACAATCATGACCTATCCCCGGGCTCTTCACGTGACCTGATGTCACCAGCCCTTCAGACGTAAGCATGGCATGTGACCATCTCCTTCTGCTCAAGAAGAAAGGCAGACAGTGATGTCAGATCGCAGTAATTTATGTCCCTCAGAAAAGACACAATAGACTAGACAACGTGAGAAAGAGAAATACATTCGGTGGAAACGCAGAGACAGAACTGGCGTTGAGGCACAGCCCCGTCACATGCCCATTTGGGAGCCGGAGGTTCCAGGCTGGAAGCTGCAGAACAGGTGTATCAGATGTACTTGCTCCGAGGGATGCATGATGTTTGGGATTGGTTCAGGACCCCTGTGAGGCTGAAGGAAAAGGGGGAAGAACAGAACAGAAACACAACTTAAGCTCAGGGCTGTGCCACTGTTCCCCCTAGAGTCCCAGGAGACAAGACACTACCCAGGAAGGCTGAGTGCTGGCCTGATGAGCCACAGAAGAGTGTTTCTGGGGTTCCTTTCAGCAACAAGACCAAGAAATGCTCGCTGCTTAACCCCACCCCTAGTCGAAAATGGGACACGTTGGAGGCGATGTGGCCCGACTTGAAAAAAGTAACTAGCCCTGGGGAGTCTCTCCTCGTTATCGGGCATTTCCTACAACATCGTGAATATAGCATACTCGTAAATGCCCCCAAATCAAGACACCATGAAGTGAACTACATCCCCAGAGAGAAGGGAGCAGAAACCTCACCTAATGGCTGCAGTTGTGGTCGTCACTGGGAGAATGAAGAGTAACAACATCTTTGGAAATTGTACAAACACTGCACCCCTGGGAGCTAAAGCAGGGGCCAGTCTGTAGACTTAACAGAACAGCCCACAGGATGGGTACCTACCCTGGCTTACAGGAACACCCTGCAGGACAGGTAACTAGAGTCAGGACTCTCACTGTGCCAGGAGTGAGATTTCCCCCTCTAAGGCTTGCTTTGCCTTATTAGAATATATTTTTAGTGTCCTCTTTGCTCTGTGGTTTTGCTTTTTCTGCCTCAGCTTTATCACAGTAGAAGAGAAGACAAGACAGTGGGAAGGTGATACCAATGCTTTCCGGAAGTTTTCTTACCTCGCTGGCTTCTAAGATGGAGAACGAAGCTTGCTACCAGGGATGTGAGCCCCAGCACAAAGCCCCCGACTCCAGTCAGCATCTTGGTCCGAGCAGAATCAGACTGTGCCTCTGTGGAGACAGCCCCGGGTCAGCCTCACCTCTGCCTGCTGGGCCCCGGGCCCTGCCTGACATCCTGGAGCCTGACCGGGTCAAAGGGAGACCACGAGGCCGAGCCTGGGCCCAGTGTGGGGAGGAAGATGTGGAAAGCACCCGAGTTCTGGGTCTCGGTTCTGTTGACTTCCACAGGAAGCTGCCCTCCAGGTTGGTCCACAAAATCCACGCTCATGGGCTGAAGGGAGAGGCCAGTTCCCATGTCTGAGGGCCAGCTGGGAAGGTCATCATCTTTCTGAGACTTTCTAACAGGGAGAGATTCTTTTTTTTTTTGGAGAGTTTTTTTTTTTTTTTTTAATAGGGGGTGCTCGCCAGACAGAGAGAGACATAGAGACAGAAAACGAGAAATCACCCCCCAGGGGGGTGGTCACGCCGCAATCCCTTCTCCTCCATTCTCCTCTTGGGATCTTGGGCACGCACGCACACGCGCCCGGCATGAGTTCTAAGCAACCAGGTCCGGGACACGAACCGTGGTCGACTACGTGGGAGTCCAGTGACATAGCCATTACGTTAACTGCTGGTTCCCAAGATTCTTTAGGACTCTCTCAGGTCAAGGACAAAAACCCACACTGTGATCACCTGGCCTCCACTGGTCCCAGCCCAGGCCACAGTCAGGGACTTGATTAAGAAAAATACGGAGGAGGAGGAGGTGGTGGTGGAGAAGCAGCCTGTAGCACAGTGGTAGAGTGCTGTGCATTAGGAGCTGGATCCGACAGGACCTACTGCAGTTCAAATCCTGGCCCTGGGGACTTGGACTTGAAAAACATGCTGGCTGCATGTGCTAGTGAGGCCAAAACACAGGAGGGATGGAGAAGAGGAGGAAAGAGGATCACAGCATGACCACGCCCCAATGGGGGGGTGCCTTATCCCTTTCTCTTTGTCTTTGGCCTCTGCCCTCTAACTAGGAGAGAAAGAAAGAAAGAAGTGAGAGAGAAAACCTGGGGTGACGTAACCCCAATGTGTAGAGCACA